TTATAAACTGATATTTCCTACTGACACACTACAGCAAAAGATAGAAATAACTGACTTATTAACTGAACTAACTAACTGAATTTTTTGTTGGTGAAAATACTAGACGCCTGAGACTTTTGCACACTTCTGTGTATATAGTGTGTGTGTGTATATATATATATATATGATGTCTGTATCTCCACAGATCATACCGGACACTGATGACCTTGATCTGTATGAGCAGGTATCTCCTTCATGTGAATTTACATAAATATGATGCATATCCATTTTTAAAGTGGGGGTGATTTGATATAGTAGCTAAAATCTCAGAACTGCTAGCCAGAAGGTTGTAGGTTTGAAACTATGAATTGTTGTGGAGCTTGAGCTTGTGCTTGCATTAGAGCAAGTATGCAATCTATGCTTTTCTCTTTATTCATGTTTTTAGGGTATTATCCTGTCATCTTCCTGTCTGGAGAGGAATCTGCCTGACATGTTTCAGCTGTGGAGTGACATTTTCAACAGGTTAGTCTTTTTTAAAGAGACAGAAAAATAAATGTTTCAATCTCTGAATGATTTTAAACTGACGCAGAATCTGTCCTGCACATCTCCAGCCCTCGTTTTGATGACGAGCAGCGTCTGCGTGTGCTGGTCATGATGTCAGCTCAGGAACTGTCCAATGGCATCTCGTACTCCGGTCACATGTACGCGATGACGCGTGCGGCTCGAAGCCTCACTCCCACAGCAGACCTGCAGGAGGCCTTCAGCGGGATGGACCAGGTGAGTGCTGGGATGTTGATCTCCAGTCTTTGACAGCTTTGAGTAGAATAAATTGTTGTACATTTATATTTTAATTTCAGGTGAAGTTTATGAAAAGAATAGCTGAGATGACTGATCTGACTTCAGTTTTGAGGAAACTTCCCCGGATAAAGAGACACCTGTTGAATCCTGAGAACATGAGGTACGTGAAAAATGAACTAATGAAAGTTTTATTATGTAGAATTGGTCACAAGCCTTACCCATGTGTATTTATTGAAAGGTGCCTTTACATGGTTTTTGTAGGTCTTTCTTGACTGGAAAACATATTTCATTAGCATGTCTTGCTTTAAACTATACTTGGAAATGTTATTACTCAGAAATTGCATTAATGGGCATAATGGAAAAGTTTCTAATGAAAAAATATTAGAATTTTTATCAAATATCGAATTGAAAGGTTGTATATAAATGTTATATTTATATCTATATATAATTTATATATCAATATAACATTTTTTGTTAGTTTGTAAAAATAGTATTGTTAAATAATTGACTATTTTAAATATTATTACTCCTGAATTTGTCATGAATATAGCCTTTGATGCTGATCAGTGTTATTTGCTATTAATATTTTGAATGTTTTTATTTTTATACTTTGTGTTTTCATTTTAATTGTTTTAGTTATTTTATTGTGTGTTTTTGTAACTTAATAGTTTTGGGGTTTTTATATATGTCTATATAGTTTTTGTTAATTTATATTAAAGTTTGTTTTTTTAGTACATCAAATTAAAGTAAAACTACTTGCTAGTTTTTATTTCAAGTAGCTTTTAATGGCTTTAGTTTTACTTTCAGTTTTATTCAACCATAATAAGTGACGATACCATATCATTACATAAACTCATAATCATACGTATATCATTACATAACTAAAATAAGAATTAGAAAAAAATGTTTAAAGTGAATAAACAAAATAAAATTTTTAACAAATAACTTGACTATAAATTTACATTTAAATGTGATTATGATGTTATGGTTTCAGGTGTGCAGTGAACGCCACGCCGCAGAAAATGTCAGAAGCAGCTGGAGAGGTGGAGAGGTTTATAGGTAATATAGCAGCCAACAGGAAGGAGCGCAAACCTGTCAGACCAACCGTTGTGGAGGTGAGACGCCACACTTTTCTTTTTAGAAGACACAACTTTTCACAATCAGTTAAGCTTTGATTTGTTTGTTTTTCCTCTCATAGAGAGCACTAGATCCTCAAGCTGGATCATCTGCGAGTCGGAAACTTATCTCAGTGAGTGCGTTTACAGCAACATTACAGCAACATTCAGGTTTGATTGATCCGTAGCGTTCTCACCGATCTCCCTCTTCATCCTGCCAGGAGCCTCATTTTAAACCCTGTCAGATGAAGACGTATTTCCAGCTTCCGTTTAATGTGAACTTTGTCAGCGAGTGTGTGCGGGCCGTCCCGTTCACACACGCCGATTACGCCAGGTACAACAAACACACTCTTGGAAAACAATGTTCATTATGCTCATTCTCATTACAAGTTTACACGCACATATTTATTGAATTAAATTATGATATCACTATTATGGTTTTATTTTGATTAATCATGCAGTCCTTTGCTTATGCACAATCTGTCATCTGTTGTTCTCTCTCAGTCTGTGTATTTTAGCAAGGATGATGACTGCCAAGTTCCTGCATGGAGAGATCAGAGAAAAGGGTGGGGCTTATGGAGGCGGAGCTAGAATGGGAGGAGGCGGCCTGTTCTCATTTTATTCCTATAGGTACATATTACACATTTCATTGGATCTGATACAATGTATCCATTAGTGTGTTTCCTTCATATATAATGATGTTTAAGTTCCAAGTTGATCATGTTTTATTATCTGATTTATCATGGCAATCTCTCAGAGATCCGAACTCCACCCAGACGTTGTCGGCTTTCCGTGGCGGAGTAGAGTGGGCGCGAGCGGGAAAGTTTACCCAGCAGGACATCGATGAGGCCAAGCTCTCAGTTTTCTCAGCCGTTGATGCACCGGTCGCCCCCTCAGATAAGGGTCAGTAATGTGGGCTGTGTCTTTGGACACTGAGTGACATTTTAGCCCATCTGTGTATTATTACTATAGTTGTTTTAGGTTTCCAAAGGATTCACGGTTCTTTTTAAAATTTAAAATGTAAAAATAAGAAATTGAAATCATTTTTTTTTTAATGATTATTAGCTTTTCTTGGGAAACCCTGGTTTAGATGTTTGTACATGTGGATGTTTTGTGATTGATTGTTGTTTACATTTTGGGAAGTGTAGAAGTGTTTAAAATGTTCAGGTGCTTAAATATTGTGTTTTGTTTTTGTTTAAATGCTCAATGGCCTGTTGCATGAAGCTAGCTGAACAAACTCAGAGTTTCAGAGTAGGTTTAGAGTTGACAAAACTAGAGATGCACCGATCGACCGGCCAGGTCGGTAGCCGATAATGTATTTGTCATGCAAGATGAGGCTTGCGCAGCCGCAGCCTGAGTGAGTGTGTGAGCGAGACTTGTGCAGAAATAAAAACAAATGAGCTCAACAGCACACACAGAAATTTCTAGATGCATACTGCGGTAATAAAAAAAAAATGTAGGTACGCAACATTGCACGACCAAAATGTTTCAGCACGATTGCAATGTGAATTTATACAATAGTAGTTCAATAAACAAGAAGTTAAAATTAAGTGACTTACATTTTAGACACAATATTGACTGTTTTTGCTCAATTTCGCTGATGAAAATTGTTCCAATCAAAGCCACAGCAGAACTGTTTTGTGTCTCCGAGCAACACAGCGGTGTTTCGTTACTGAATGAATCCACGTTTTTGAACGAATCAAGTTAGTCATTGATTCAGTAACCCATTCATAAAGACAGTAGTGACTTGCCTCGTTTCTAAATGAATCAGCCGTTTGAACGAATCTGTTGAAGGACTAAATGGCTCACTCATTCAAACTGTCATTTGCCGCCACCTACTGGTTTGGTTTCATATTTAAAACTATCATTGCATTTTCCCCAACATTTCTTATTTGTATGTTTAAAAAATATTTAAAACATTAATCTTATACAATTTTTCATGCATTCGAAATTTTGCAGTGTAAATGCATTAATGGCACCTCAGCTTCATCAAACAGTCTGTGCAAATACATCTAATGCCACTTCAGATGCAGCTTCTGTGTTTCCTGCAGTGGAAAGATGGAGTTTGTTATTACTGATTTCATTTGAATGGTAGTGACAGCTCTACAGTTTCTCATTATTCTAACTGAAATAATTGAAACGATGTAAGAATTTAATGGGAAAGATTTCTACCTCTTTTCTAGTCACAGAGCACTTTATTTTGAGAGTTGTTTAAGTGAGAGAACATCTGTAACTTTGTCCAGATTGAGGGAATTGTAATATTTTTTTTATTATGTAAATATTTTTTTTTTTGCATCAAAAAAAAAAAAAGTATAGATTTTTGTTTGTGTATGCTATCAATTATAGTTTTTAGAAAGAAAATCGGAATCGGCAAAAATCGGTGTTTTTGCTCAATTTCGCTGATGAAAATTGTTCCAATCAAAGCCACAGCAGAACTGCTTTGTGTCTCCGAGCAACACAGCGGTGTTTCTTTACTGAATGAATCCACGTTTTTGAACGAAACAAGTGTGTCAGTAACCCATTCATAAAGACACTAGTCACTTGCCTCATTTCTGAATGAATCAGCTGGTTGAACAAATCTTTTGAATGAAGGACTAAATGACACACTCATTCAAACAGTCATTTGATGCCACCTCCTGGTTTGGTTTCATATTTAAAACTATCATTGCATTTTCCCCAACATTTCTTATTTGTATGTTTAAAAATATTTAAAACATTAATCTTATACAATTTTTCATGCATTCGAAATTTTGCAGTGTAAATGCATTAATGGCACCTCAGCTTCATCAAACAGTCTGTGCAAATACATCTAATGCCACTTCAGATGCAGCTTCTGTGTTTCCTGCAGTGGAAAGATGGAGTTTGTTATTACTGATTTCATTTGAATGGTAGTGACAGCTCTACAGTTTCTCATTATTCTAACTGAAATAATTGAAACGATGTAAGAATTTAATGGGAAAGATTTCTACCTCTTTTCTAGTCACAGAGCACTTTATTTTGAGAGTTGTTTAAGTGAGAGAACATCTGTAACTTTGTCCAGATTGGGGGAATTGTAATGTTTAATAATTTTTATGTAAATAATTTTTCCATTAAAGTATAGATTTTTGTTTGTATATGCTGTCAATTATAGTTTTTAGAAACTAAATCGGAATTGGCAAAAATCGGTATCGGCAGGTCACACTTACAAAAAAAATCGGTAATAGGAATCGGCCAAGAAAATTGCAGTCGGTGCATCTCTAGACAAAACCAAACAAATCCAACCTGGCTTAGATCAGGTTCATTGGGCTCACAAAGCTCGATATAACCGTTCTTGTCAACTCTCAGAGTTTGTGATTAAATGTGACACATGCAGCAAACAGCCAATCACACGAAACGTGGTACGCAAAAGGCAAATATTTAGTTGGATTCACTTCTCGCGAGAGTCAGCGCAATTCACTTTTCTGCTGAAGATTAAGAGATGTTATTAAAAATGTAATACATTTAAATGCATTTACAACTTAAGGCAGGAATAAACACTTCTGCAGCAGCAAACGTTTGAGAAGGCAGCGGAAAGAAAATATATGACTATGCAAAAGGAATCAACTGAATTTAATTTTTTATATAGTTTCACACAAAGCTCAAAAGGAAAACGTAAGTTTAGTCATTTTAAAAGCTGGATATAATAAAGCGTATCTATATGTATATATATTTTTAATTTAATTTAAATGCAAAGCTTAAAATTAATTGCCACTTCATATAATAATTACATGAATATATTAATTTTAATCAATTATATACTATAAATATAATAAATAAGTAGCAGCAAAAGTCGAGCAATTTTGTCTGACTGTAAACTGCTTTAATTTGAAGTGAGAGATACGGGGAGTGGCTTCATTGTATCAGCCACTTTGCTCACAGCTGATTGGTCCAGTTTGGGTTTGCGATTTCTAAACCAGAATAAAACCTGCTCTGGAGCAGGGTAGCTGTAGTGTAAGTTACCATGGTAACGAAACCAGCTCAAAACCAACCCACCTTCTTGAACCCGAAAACTCAAGAGTTTGCTCAAATGAAACGCGAGCTTACCTGGGTAAAAACCAAAACCGGCTTCGTGCTACAGGCCTCAGCTGTTTGGATGTTGTTGAGTTTGTGTTCTTGGATATTTGCTCTCTAGTTCACTAGGACCTTGTTATTGTGTTGTAGGTTTGGGGCGTTTTTTAAACGGCATTACAGATGAGATGAAACAAAGATACAGAGAGAGACTGTTCGCTGTGACTGATAAAAACCTCATTGACGTCGCTGGCAGGTAACAAAACATTTAAATGTATATAATATAATTATTAGTGCTGTCAAACGATTAATCGCATTCAAAATAAGTGTTTTTGTTTGCATAATATATGTGTGTGTACTGTGTATATTTATTATGTGTATATATATATACACACACATGCATGTTTAGGCTATATTTAAAAATGTTATGTTTATATATTAATATATTTATAAATTATATGAATATACATATATGCATGTAAATACATGTAAATATTTTCAAAATATATACATGCGTGTGTATTTATATATACATAATAAATATACACAGTATACACACACATATTATGTAAACAAAAACATTTATTTTGGATGCGATTAATCGATTGACAGCACTAATTAATTATCTAATAAAATTAATCAAAATATAATAAATAAAATTGAAAAAATATTTATGCTTGAGTACTGGTGCTATATTTATATTTTTTTGTATTCGTATAATATTTACTTTGTGTGTGTGTGTGTGTGTGTGTTAAACAGATATCTTGGTGTCGGTCAGCAGACATGTGGAGTGGCTATTCTTGGCCCGGAAAATGAAAGCATCAGAAAAGACCCATCCTGGGTGGTCAAATAGACTTTTTACCTCTCTTCTTATTAGTAGGATTGTGAAAGACACGCACACACTCCTGGATCACGCACAAATCAAGTCTTGTTCCGTTAGAAGAATGTGTTTTCTTCCTTACAGGAGTCATTATGAGCAACAGAGGTGCTTAAAGAACCTGAATTAAAGTTCTCTAAGACTACTTTTGTTTACACAACACGTTGTTGATGGACTCCATCTTTTTATAACAACGTCGAAAAACGCTCATATGATTCTGCAGTGTTGTAATTTGAGTGAGATTTATAAGTTAGAAATTATTTATGAGATGTGTAGAATTATAATAAACGTGACCATGTTTAACTAGAATGATTTTTTTTTAAACTTGACTTTTTTTTTTGGACACTGACATTTTTGTCCTCTAATGACCGCAGAGTAACTTTTTAAAATTGATGTACAAGGGTTAATAATGAAACAAACCACACCAATTACATTCTAAAGGGAGTTTATGCAGCATTGTTAGCGTATACGCACACGTACATCATAACAAACACACACTAACACGTCTGCTTTGGTACAAAGTGCCTGCACTAACAAACACCACAGAATAGCAGCTTGGAAGACCCCTTCAGACTCCAATCAACTAAAACAAGGTGCAGTTGTGAAATAACATCACTATAGGCCAGTGAAGCATTCATACAGATAGCTCCATATTCAATGAAAATAAGCTCTATTAGAATAAATATGGAAATCTTGCATATTCACAAAATATACCACTTGGCCCCATTTAAAATGGATGATCAGCTAATCGCTTGAGCGTATGGATTGTCAATCACAACACACTGAGCTACTATATTGAAGGATCTCGTGGCTGTACGTCTATGGTTACAGTTTAATGTGAACTGCTTTACATATACTGTATATGATTAGGTGTTCAGGTCAAGAATATGGAATCACAGGTCTTCACCTATAATAAATACATTTTTACTTGCAAGACAACTTGGTTTTACATGTGGCTGCTGCTTTTAAATGGCAGAGATGTCTTTAGCCCTCAGACGGACGATGTGTTCAAGCTGGCCTGAATCGGACACGTCGTAGCTGGTTTTGTACTTGGCCAGAATCTTCATGAGCGGACGCAGTCGGAGCCACCACTGTTCCTTCGGGATCCTGTGACTGGAAATAAAACATGAACAATATCAGGTCAAAGGAACTTGTCATTTTAAAATGTTTTTAATGTGATTTTTTTAAAGGGAATATATAATGGAAAACCTAAGGAATAATTTACAAAAACCATAATTTTTTCCCTTGCTCTATTGAGTTAAAAAGAATGTATTATGAAGACGTAGACACAACTCTAAACTCCTTCTCAAGTCCACCCGGACCATTTATTAAAATTAAAGTAACTAAAAACTAAAGTAAGACTAAATTATGACTGCTTTTGGTGCAAGAAACTTTTTTTAACGTTACACTTTTATTAATTTTTCTGAAAAAAATTATGATTGTGATTTAAAAATGCTCCAATTTTGCTGTGCTTGTTTACAGGGCTACAGAATTTGGCCAATTTAGTGATTTGGGCATCAATTTAACGTAATAATACACAAAATATTAAAGTAATAAATATTACAATTTATATATTTCACTCTAAAATAAACAAATATATACTTTATTAGTATTTAAGGAAATTTTATTGTACAGTACAATTGTAAAATTACAATATTAATATTCATGGCTGACTGAGGAAAAAATGGTAACACTTTAATGTATTATAAGAGTAATTTGAATGCATTGTAATACAACTTATAATGCATTGCATGATCTTTAGAATAATTATAACCACAGTTATAATATATTATACTAATCTATTCAATGTTACACCTGTAGAAACTATAATGCATTAAAACGCATGACAAACAAACCTTCAAAAATTATAATGCATTTTAACTTTGGTTGCAATTATTTATAAAAAGATATTATGCATTACTTTGTACATTATGAATACTTGAATAATGTTACACATAAAGGCTTTAAGTATAGTGTTACCAAAAAAGTAAAGTGTTTCAAAATAGAATCCTTTAAGAGTAGCCTTGGAAACAAATATTAGGACATCATTTTTAAGATAATAGAATCAGCTTTGTGAAGCATGCTTGTTGTCTTACACAAAATCCGTCTCATCCTTCAGCTGTATGACAGGCTGGAAGACCAGGGCCCTGCACCGCATCCCCAACAAACATGCAGAATCCTCAGAGTTCGCAAACACACGGCCTACAAAACGCACAAAAATATGGTACTGCACAAAGTCTACAAGCAGAGCAAAATGACCAAAGATATAAGCATAATAACACTGTGCTTCAAGTGAACTCAAACAATATAATTTTGAGATTCAAATAACTTACCTTCACCTGAGCCAACCAAGGAAAGCAAAATACAAAGAGCAAAATAAAATAGCACTGTGTGACAGTGAAGACCAAACATTTCTTATATTAAAGGTGCACTAAGTGATTTTTGAAAAACACTTTTGACCACAGCGTCGGACCGAGTCTTAAAACACACTTGTAGCCAATCAGCAATAAGGGGGCGTGTCTTGTAATGATAGAGAGAAGAACGCGCTCAATTTGAGTGCACAGGAATGCTATTAGCAGACCGATTATAAATAGAGAGATGACAGATAAAAAAAGAGGAAAATATCAGAGAAACAAAACATTAAAAAGAATAGGTGAGTAACGTTGATTTTGCTTCGTTTCACACAACTTATCCGTGTTGGCTTTTGTTTGAATATGCTTGTGTGTCATCTTCATTTGTTTCCACGATCATCGTTGCCATGGTTGTGTACGTACGTGTGGAGCGGAGATTTCAAAATAAGGGCGAGGTCCTGTTGGGGTATGGGCGTGTTTGTTTTGGTGCTTTCAAATATCAACATAATTTGACAAAAATCGCTTAGTGCACCTTTAATATATAATTCTTAATATATTATATTTCTTAATATAATGTATAAATTTGTTATAAAAAACTTTACAAAAATACAAATATTTTATTATTGTATTTAATTTATTATTAAATTATTATTAATTGTATTATACACACACACACACAATTAATGTAATAATATTTTTTTTAAACATATATATAACAAAAATACAGTCAAATTAATTATTGATAAAATATTTATTATTATTATTATTACTATTATTATAATATTTTAGTGCTTTACATTAAACATGTTATTACAT